ACGCTACTTCTCATCCATCGATTACCATCGCTCTAGTTATTGACAGATTACCGTGGAACAAAAAGGCCAAGAAAACATCTCCTTCTTTACTCCGAATGGTTTGTACCAATTTAAGGTTGTGCCCTTCGGTCTATTCAACGCCCCAGCTACGTTCGAACGTATAATGAATTGATTGGTATGTGGAGTTTAACGTTTCAAAACCACCATACGATTATGAGAGACGCTATACTGGAGGGCTCCGGAAATTTTGACCACCTGGGTTTCTTTACCTTGCACCCAAATCTGAGCACACGGGCCTTCAACATTTGAACGTATAATGGTCTTTCTGCTAGAAGGATTGAAATGGTCAATCTGCCTGTGTTACCTAGACGACGTCCTCGTATTTTCACCTAAATTTGAAGCCAACCTTGAGCGTCTGTCGGCTATTCTCGACGTCTTCCGCAATTTGGCCTCCAGTCGAACTGCTCGAAGTCAAATTACAGTGTTGGGTAACTCCTTGTTGATGCTTCTAGGTTGGCGGTCAGACTCTGAACAAATTCGAGCCGTCACAAGTTTCCCAGCACCTCATTCGCCAAAAATGTCCCGAGTTTTGTGGCACTCTGTTCCTACTTCAGGCAGTTTGTGAAAGACTTTGTAGCAATCGCTCGACCACTTACCTATCTTCTGAATAAAGACGTCCCATTTTTGTGGGGGTCCACCCAACATGCTACCTGCTCTCGTGGCATCACCATTTTGATGGCGCCCCTTAAATTGGCTCACTTTGACCCATATGCCAAGACTGAAGTCCGAACTGATGCCAGTGGTTGCAGGATCGGAGCAGTTGTTTCCCAACACCAACACAGACATGACCGCATTATCTCCTACGCTAGCCGTCTTCTTACACCTGCGAAGCGCAATTATTCAATCATGGAGGGAGAATGCTTTGTGCTTGTCTGGGCGGGCTGAGAGTTCCGTTCATATTTACATCACTCATTTCTCCGTCATCACGAACCACCACGCGCTTCACTGACTTTCATCAATATTAAGGGATCCCACAGGTCGACTTGGTCACTACGCTCTGCGACTGCAAGAGTACACCTTTGCAGTGACATACAAGTTTGGACGCCTGCATCAGGACGCCGATTTCCTCTTTCCCTATTCGGTTGGCGAGTCGCACACCGTCTTAAGTATACGACGCCTGCGTGTGCTCCGTTTCCCAACTGACTCACATAGCCGACGACCAACGCCGTTATGCATCCTTACGGTCTATCATTGAGCGCCTCAGATCCTCACCGTCGGACCGATCTCCTCTCTCGTACGTACTCCAGTACACTACACCGCCACAACACTCATCTAAACGGGCCATCTCTGCGGCGTGCTATACCCAAACACCTGCGCTCGGCTGTACTCAACGAACTTCACTTCGTTCCAACTGCCGGTTATCTCCACGTGTCCCTCACACACGATCGAAATGGCCATCACTTTTAATGGCCAGGTCTTGCACGCTCCGCCAGAAGATACGTCACGGCGTGGGAGGAATGTCAGCGCCGCAAAATACCGTCGGCACTTCCAGCTGGGCGCATCCTAAGACTCGACATTTCTTCTGAATCCTTCTTTCGCGTGAGCGTATACCTCCTAGGCCCTTTGTCCCTGTCTTCTGTTGGCCACAGGTGGAAAGCTGCAGGTGGCCACAAACTTCGCCACACGCTACGCTATCACACGCGCTATTCCAACAAGCTGCGCCACAGACGTCGCTGATGTTCTGCGCCACGTGATCTTGCACCCTCATGCTCCATGCAGCTGCTCACAAACCGAGGCCGCACATTTCTATCGAAAGTCATAGAGGACATCCTGCGCTCATGTGGAACGCGGCACAAGCTCACTGCGTCGTACCATCCACAAATGAATGGCCTCACGGAGCGTTTGAACCGAAAATTAACCAATATGCTTTCAAGGTCTGTTTCCTCGGACCACTCCGACTTGGACCTTCCTCTACCGTACACGACATTTGCGCACTATTCTTCGCGCCATGACATGGACTAGTTATTCCCCATTTTTGCTGTAGTTTGGTCGCGAACCCACATTGCCCGTCGATACAGTCACTCCGTTGCCAGCCTCTCCGACCACTGAACTAGGCCCTGGACGCCATCAGCCGGGCCAGCATGCACGCGAAGCCGCTCGTACTCGCCTTTCGATCTCCTAAGCAAACCAACGGCGTCGGTACGATAAAAGACACTATGACGTGCACTTTTCGCCAGATCCGTTGGTTCTGCTGTGGTCTCCGAAACATGTGCGGTGGTTTAGTGGCTAAGATACTCGGCTGCTGACACGCAGGTGACGAGAACGAATTTCGGCTGCGGCGGCTGCATTTTCGATGGAGGCGGAAATGCTGTAGGACCATGTGCTTCGATTTGGGTGCACGTTAAAGAACCCCTGGAGGGTGAAATTTCCGGTGCCCTTCATTACGGCGTCTATCATAATCATATGGTGGTTTCGGGACGTTAAATCTCACATATAAATCAACCATGGTCTCCGACCCGGCGCGTTGGCCTGTCTTACAAACTGCTTTCTCGGTACAAAGGGCTATACCGAGTGCTTCGTACGGTGACTCCCGTCACTTGTGAAATCGTTGCTGCTCTCTCGTCATCTTCATTCACCCCTCAGGCCAGCGTCTTCGTACACGTCACACGCCCGAAACAGCACCACTCGCCCAATGACGTTGACGTCTAATGCACCGAGACGGCACCTTCGCCGACGGGGATACGCTACATGTAGGCTGCCGAAATGCATATTGTCGACGCGCTTGTGCGCCCAACGAAGAGGACGAAGGTCGCTTGCTGCTTGGAGCCGGACTGGCCAGTGCTGCAACCGCTCTTGCAAATATATTTGGTGAATAGCCTGCTGTGTAAGTGACTCGTTGCTCACGTAACAAGATTATTGAGATCTAACAGACAATCATGCTAGGAGAAAGTACAGAGGGAGTTATTAGAAGTAGTTGCGATGTCAATGTGAAGAAAGAAAAGCGAACGAAACTATTTTTTGACGTAGGGAGGAACATAACCTGCGACCTTCTAATAACGCGCCCGATGCTCTACTAACTGAGCTACCACGGTGGTTATCCACCCGTCCATTTGAAGGGGCATATTTGTGCACTAAACGTGGGAGCTGTTGAATCTCATTATATTGTGTCTAACAAAGAAAACATTACCTCAAGTGCACACTTATTTTCTGCAACCCTGTGTACAGAAATACGCACAAAAAAGCGACGTTCTGGCTGCCAGTAAACTTTTGTGTTCACTAAAGCGAGAACAGGAGCTTTTCGGAATTTTGATGCTACGTACAAGCTTACAGAGCAGGTAAATTTTTCATTTGTTTTGTTGGCGGTGTCGGCCATCCTTTCAATTGGTTAGCAAGGTTCGTGGAAACCCGCGCAGAAGTCGTACATACACTTTGATGGCCCTTTTTTATCTCTGCATCGCAATGCAGCTGGGCACGCCGATAAAAAAAAATCATGAATCAATGCCAAACAGCTTCCTTCATTCCACGCAGACAACTCTTTCTGTGACCTAGTTCTCTACTAAAACTAATCGTTTTGTCTTTCTGATTATAGACTATAAAGCAGCAACAAGAGCAAGGTAATTCATATGTAATTTCAGATCACTTTCTGGCGCACGAACTGTGCAGAACTCTAAGTAGAGTCGGCAATACGAGGACATGCCGAGCGAGCAGAGTGAAGCTGAAGAAACGCACTGCTGCTTACCTGCGTAGGTGTGAATCTTCAACGTATGTTTCTTTTCAGTTTTTCGTAACATTTTCGTTAGTCTAATAAGTGACTGCAATTTCAAATGTTAGCAATTATTTTGAAAGAGGCCAGATATGAGAGATGCTGGCACTGAATGGGTGAATAACCAAAATGGAGCGTTTATTTCGATGGGCATTGTTTTACTTGAGGCCGCAAAGCGCGTTGTATGTAATTAAGGCCTCTGCAAGACCACCACCATCACTGTCTAGTAGCCGGACTATACGAAGGCTGCGTGCAGTGCTGAAAACACTTTTCCAGCATATTTAAACTGTTCTGTTGCTCAGTTTATTGCACAACTTAAGAATATGAAGTTGAGTCCTCGACTGCAGAGAAGTAGCCATCTTTTTGCAGTAAAGCTGTTTTAAGTGACCGCTGCGCCGCTCCTTTCGTCCTCTGCTTCGCCGACTGCTTTGCTCCAGCAACACGTGCGCCGATTTCCGGTGAGGACGCAATACTAACCTTGAGACAACGAGTAGGGACAGCAAGAAAGATAACAGAATTAGAGGGTTAAATGTTTGAGATAAAACCTTCCTCGAGAGGTGATATTTGAACCCGCGTATAAGCCAACCGAAAGACAAGCGCCTTAACTACTCGGCTATCCAGCCACGCTACCTGAGCACATCATAACTTTGTATAGTATAGCGAGGGGGGGGGGGGGGGGAGTGTGAAACGAAAGTCAAGTTGAGGAGAAAGTAAGAGGGAAGAGAGTGAGGCATAACATAGAAACAAATACACAAAAATAAAAAAGAAAACTAAGTCAATAAAAGAAAAAAAGAAGAAAAAATGAAATGACAGAAAGGCCAAAATAGAAAATGAAATTAAGATACAGAGAGAAAAAAAACATTGAAACAAACATAGACACCCGCTAGTAACAAAGAAATAGAAAGAGAAAAAATTAGAAAACAGCAACAATCTTTTCATCATTGCGCGTCCAGTACAAGCTCCACTAGCCCGCCCCCCTTCCCTTTTTTACAGATGTGAAGAAGAAAAAAAGCCAAGCAACTTAGTTGACAAGTGACATGTTGCATACAAACTTGGGTTAAAATAATAATATATTAAGGTTTTTGGGAGATATTTCGAATAAAGGTTTGGCTACATCTGTGCTGGTTTAAGAATATAAGACGATGCAGCCAGGCAATAGTCACACTTCATGATTGCGCTGGCCATGGTCGCAATAGCTCGTATAAGTATGGCCTTATAAAAATACGGTGGCGAGTACTTTGGTAAGAGCTGGTAAAGTAGGTCTTCGGCCTTGCGTTTCTCTTCGAGGTAGTCCGCGGTTCTTTCCTCCACGAGGGACTCCAAGTTGTTGGCGTACTGCTCCATCCGAGACAAGAGGTTGTCCAGGATGTTGCCGCTTTCAGATTCCCTGTAAAAATGAAGTCTACACTGTCAGTGCGCCGTATGAATGTGCATTTTAAGCGTTCTTTCGTTACCCAATACAGGAAGGCTCTTTTAGTGCCTTCTAAAATTAGGCATGCTTTAATGAGATGAATTCATAGGTTGCCAGTTAATGAAAAGTTCACTTTAGGGAGGGTACAAGTGACAGCGGGATACGAATGTGGGTTATTTCCAAAATATTATGCGCAATGCCAAAGAAGGTTTTTTGGCCATTCATTGCCGATCCTGCGGTTGCACACCTCTGTTTGAAGAAACCACAATCATCGGCAGACATCAGGACACGCGTACTCACGAAATCATTGAAGCCGCCAATACTGCGAAGAAGGGTTCGCCATGCATTAGCATGGCTTCTATCAGTTTATCGACAAAATAATTGTCCTTTTTGGAAGAGCGCGTGTAACCATCCCTTAGAAAAAATCTTGTCATGTTTTTATTTTTTCAATTTCCTTTTTGTCCTCTTGTACTTACATATATTTTTCGCTTTCGTGTTGTTAAAAATTCAGTTGCTAGTCAGTGCTTGTCTGTATCTCTTCTTTAGTATCCCCATATTGAGTTCGCGTTCTACGAGCTTCATTGTAATAAAATCGAGTTATTTGGATATAGGTAAGTATTTTAGCTGGAATAATTTGTGTTCAGTGTCTTAGGAGGCCTGAACACCATTCTCTTTGTAGAAATCACATAGAGAATAGTAAATGACCACTGATGCACTCCTGGTGATCTGAGGAATGGTGGAGAATAATGTCTTCGAATGTGAATTTCGTTGCATGGTGGTCTCGTCTGCTACAGATAACTCTAACGCTCCTTGTTGGACTGATGATTGTTCGATGGATTGTAAAGTTGCTGTGCCCTTGAAGTTTGAAAGACTACCAGCTTTGCACTGCTACTTTTAAATGAACAGTTTCGAACGCTATAGAACATTACGATATTCAAAACTTTGACTGTCTCTTCAGATATAACAATAAAGTTGCACTACATAGATATCTGCGTAAAAAGTAATTCATTCCACGGACTATAAATGCCGACTCCATCATTATGTCAAGAAACAACAAAAAAAAACTCGTTAGAAGTAATTGATATGAGGTTATAGCAACGTTTTCTTTCTCGATTATCACCCCCTTCTTTGAATACATTAAGTGATGAACAATCACTGAAATTTCTGGGTATGCACTATCCCACGTGTTAGCTTGCCTTCCATTAGAGGCTCCTGGGCCGGATGGCGTCACGACTGGCTAGCTGAAAACGATAAATAGGAAACGATAACATTATTTTTGTATGTAAATAATTACAAAGAATGGCACGGCTCTCAATACAGTGGCGAATTGCGAAGACGATACCATTACGTGAAGCTCCGGGTAGGGGATATGTTTTGCACATCATTAGGCCCATCGCGCTAACCTCAAATCTGGCTAAACTGATTTACAGGTTTTTATGTGTTTGCATACACATTTTCATTAATAGGCACGAAATCCTAAACCCATACCAAATTGGCTTCATAGCAGGATGCTCTGAATGGCAGGCCCATATGGGCACCGAAAATCGCATTCAATTATGTAGGCGCGAAAGGAAATATACTGCGCTAGTCGCACTGAACATCACAAAAGCTCATGATAGTGATGATCACTTAGATTTAAATGATCGGCTACACGACCTTGACTCCCCGAAGTATATTGAGGCATGAATTGCGGACTTTCCAGATTCGAGGCTCTAAACGAGGTAACCGACGTTAGCGTTAGCACAATGAACGATAATCTGACTGATAGCTTCAAACAGTGCGCAATGGAAGTCGGAGGTACAGTCAGTATAAATGACATTGGCAAACTATCTAAGGAGATAAAAAATAATTCTAAGAGACGAGAAATCATAGAAGCCTCAAATCAACCAACAAAACTAAAGCTATTGGAGCTTTCGAAGTGAATTAATATACGTAAGGTAGCCGACATCAAAAAGTATAACATGGAAAGAATTGAGTAGGCTGTAAAAAGCGACAGAAGCCTAAAATCTGCGAAGGCAAACTTGTGCACAGGTAAAAATCGGATGTATGCATAAGGGAACAAGGAAGCAAGGACATAACCAGTATGAATAGGATAGGTGGAGTGGCATGAAGTTCTACAGAGAGCTGTACAGAAGATAAAACAACCCAACCAAGACAATATCGTTAAAAACAATAATAGTCCAGAGAAATACAGATGTCTACCAATAACGACATGTGAAGTAAGGAAAGTTCTAGATGGAATGCAAAAAGGCAAAGCCACTGGTGAGGAAAAGGTAAGAACGGATCTCCTGAAAGATGGCGAAGAAATTGCGTTAGGAAAATCGGCCACCTTATATACGGAGTGTTTCTTGACGAGAAGAGTACCCGAATCTCGAAAGAACGCCAACATCATCTTAATTCATAAGAAAGGAGATGTCAGGCACTTGAAATATTACAGGCCTATCAACCTACTGTTCGTTTTCGATGCACTTCTTAGTAAGAAAAAATGCCAGGCCTGCGCGGAAGGTGCAGCACAGTCAAAGCGAAAACTAGAAGAGTGGCCTTTCAGAGCCTTTTCTAAGCACTCATTGCGTAAATGCTGCAAGACACTTGCTGGGTATCCACTACGACATTATTAATAATAATTCTGGGTAGTAGACCGGCATTTGCTATGCTATCCTTCGTCATTCTTCTGAAAAGCGTGGTAGCGGCTAAACACTTGCAAGGAATCTTGTGCCAATTGTTTATGCAGTGGCTGACGACGATGCGGAATTATGCTTGAAGTGGGTATGCACCACAGGTAATAAGGGATCAAGAACAAGACACTTTCCTAGGCTATCGGTAATCTTTCTGTTATACCTCCATACCTCCATTCTTCCAAATCTGAACAGTAATTTTTAAAACTACTTGATTCTTGGCCAATCCCCCATAGTGGGTATGCGCCACTAACAATATGTGAACAACAACAACAACATTTTGGAGTATTCAAGGACCAACTCATTACGCTATTCGCACTGTGTGACGCCTGGTTGTTTTCTTGCTGCTCTAAAACACTTTATTACTCATAATGACATGATTCGTTTCCCGACCTGAAGCCTGCCTAAGGAAGTTTGCGAACAAATTCCAAGCCCAGCGTGGCTCAGTGATAGAATAATGGGCTGGCACGCAGCGTACCCAGGTTCGAGCTCCACTGTTTCCTTGGTAATAGTTTTCTCATTTTGTGCGATAGTGGTGACGGACACCGGCGGCGACGGCTGTGGACAAATACAGTGCCGCTCGTGACCCGACTTTTGACTTTTGATTTCATAACAGCTTTCATTGTAATAATAGCGTATGGAATTAAAGCGGCATTAGAGTTAAATAAACCAAAGGACCAAGGAGAATTTCGTACAGACTACTCACAATAGACCATACTCACACTATTTATCAGGTAATATAGAAATGCAGCGGAATACAACCTACCTTCACTCATAGCCCTCTTAGATTACGAGAAAGCGTTTGACTTAGTCGAGGCATCATCAGTAGCGCAGGCACTACGAAATCAGGGCATCGAAGAACTTTGCATAAACATACTGGAAGAAACATACAGTGAATCCACAGCCACCATAGTTCTTCATAAAAAAAGGCAGAGAATCCAAATAAAGAAGGGTAGGAGGCAGGGAGACACGATCTCTCGAATGCTATTCACCGCGAGTTGAGAGGAAGTTTTGGGGGCCCTAGATTGGGAAGAGTTAGGGATAAGAGTTAATGCAGGGTATCTTAGTAACCTGCAATTCACTGATGTAAAATTGGCTTGATGAGGAACTCAGTGGAAGAATTACAGTTCATGCTTACTGAACTGAACATGGAAAATAGAAAAGTAGGTCAGAAAATAATATGCACAAAAATAAAGTAATGTGCAACAGTCTCGACAGAATACAGCGATTTGCGATAGGTAGAGAAACGCTGGAAATTGTAGAGGAATATGTCTACTTAGGACAGGTAGTAACCACCGAGCCGAACCCTTAGAGTGAAACAACAAGAAGGATAAGAAAAGTGTGTATCATATTTGGCAAGCATTCTCAGATCATGAATGGTAATCTGCCACTAACCCTCAAAGCGATGGTATATAACAGCTGGATCTTGCCAGTACTTACCTACGGAGCAGAAACCTGGAGGCTTACAAAAAGGGTCCAGTTTAAATTGAGGACGACGCAGTGAGCGATGGAAAAGAAATTGATAGGTATAATTTTAAGCGTCAAGAAGAGAGCAGATTCGGTCAGGGAACAAACCGTGGTTAAGGATTTCATAGTCGAAATGAAAAAGATATTGACATGGGCTGGGCACGTGGCATGTAGGCAGGATAACCGCTGGTCATCACGGGTAACTGACTGAATTTCCAAAGAAAGGAAACGCGCGAAGGGAAGACAGAGAATTAGGTGGACCAATGGGACTAAAAAGTTCGCAGGTATAACGCCCAACGGAAAGCACAAGACCGGGTAGATTGGCGGATGATAGGAGAGGCCTTTGCCCTGCAGAGAGCGTAGTCAGGACGATTGTGATGATGATGATGATGATGGTCATGAATGATGATGATGATGATGGTGATGATGATGATGATGATGATGATGATGATGATGATGATGATGATGATGATGATGATGCAACGTTCACAACCATGTTCACGAAAAACGCGGAAAGTTCTCACGCGTGGAGATGAGAGTGCTTGTGGAGGCACTAAAGAGAAAGACAAGATGGATTCTACTTACTTGTTCAGCTTTCTGATAAGCGGTTTCAAAGCCTGAAAATCGGGCCTCTCATTTGGGTCGCCGGCCCAGCACTTCGAGATCAGCTGACAAACTTCATCCGGGCAGTCGATTTCATCAAACACAGGTCGAAAAAGTGGCTTTGATTCACATATGACTTGTTCTACGATCTCTGGAAGGAGAACAGCGTATTTGGCATGTTATAAGAGTAATTTGGAGAGAGTGCAGCTCGGCCCTCAAATAAAAACATAAGGTTACAGAAAACTTGTTTTAGGGGCGCAGCCTCTAAAGCCGCTGTATATCTTGGTACGTGGCCGCCTAGTTCTATGACTCAATCAGCAGGTGGCACTACTGTGACGAACGGACGGACTAACGTACGGACGGATGGATGGATGGACAGGTGGACGGACAGGCAGACACTTCGCCTTACTCATTATCTTCACCCCATTAATATAATGTAATATTTCAAAAGACGATAGTTTTTCTTGGAGACATACGACACAAAAAAGTTTGTTCTGTCTGTCTGTCTGTCTGTCTGTCTGTCTGTCTGTCTGTCTGTCTGTCTGTCTGTCTGTCTGTCTGTCTGTCTGTCTGTCTGTCTGTCTGTCTGTCTGTCTGTCTGTCTGTCAGTACATTTGTCTGTTTGGCCACCGTTATCGCGAACCGGGTACTCGAAACAGCAGCAGCAGATACCCCGAACAGCCGATTCCGTACGCAGCGCCCACCAATGTTGCTCAAGGATGAGCGTTCATATGTGTGTGATTGTCAATTAAAAAACAATAATTGTGCATATCTGAGGCACCTTCACAACACGTATATATTCTGCATGTTCATCTTTTACAAGAAAAGGCATACTTAAGTTTAATTCTAAGGACCGTGGCGCTTATCACGCTGCACTGGCTATGCAACGCTTGCACGAAAAGGCGAGTGTTTCCAAAGCTTTGCTAAAAAGACATGGTGGTGGCCCCAACTCGTCGCCTTGCTTTCTACACCTTATCACCCCTGAGACAGCGCGCACGCCGGTCTCAGGGCCACGCGCTTGTTTTCTAAAAAAAAAAAAAACTGCCAGATGGCGCTCATGTCTCACGTGTGACGTGACTTGATGCGCTCGTTCGCCTCCGCTGCACGCTCGAGGCACTCTAACACAGCGCCTCCGGAATACCATTCACCGACTTTCTTGTGCACATCAAAAATAAATGTTTTGTTCACTCTCTTCACAAGCAAGATTATCGTCTTTCGACGACATTTGCAGATTGCATGCCGCTACGGGGCCATTTTTTTCTTCCAATTGTTTAAGAGAAGGCTTTATTGAGCCCATGGCTTATCTCAGGCACGCGTGGTATATCATGTGGACATGCAGACGAGTTTTTTTTTGTATGTGCTTGTTGTTTCGTGTACAATAACTAGTGTAGATCTGGTCCTGAAAAAAACAGGCATTTCGTTCAATTTACCCCATACATAAAACATTTACCAAACAGATTGGAACAGCCATCAGTTGTTTGTTTTTTTTTTCACGAAATACGGCACCCCATATTATTTATCCTACGATCGAAGCCGTATTGAAGTAAGGCGTATTGAAGTAAGGTATCTAATGTATAGACACACATGCTAGCAGCCTTCCGAAGGTCAACTTGTGCCTTATAGACATGCAGGCTCATTTGTCAAAGCCACAGCAAATGTACTTGTGGCAATATTTGTTAAGGGGCACAGCCATAGAGAAACATATTAACATAAAGAGTAGGAACTCCCTTAGGGTCCTGTGGTCGAGCTAGTGCGCAGCTTTCAGCGCCACTAAGGGCTGGTCAGACCCGATAATGCCTTCAGCATAAATAAAATAGCATTTTTTTTTCTTTCCGAAGCTGCGATTTGAACCTGAATCCTCATGCTCCGAAAGAGTATCTTACCACTAAGCTACAAAGCCATGCTTCTACATAGGGAATACACGTACAGCAAGTCTAAACCACATCAATGTGTACCCTTTGTGCAAAACAAATGCTGAAAGACCTCCCCTGCTAGTCAGACTATACTGATTTTTGTGGTAAAGCAAGAAACGTTTTCAGGGGGGTACGTTGTATAGCGAATACGAAAAGTTGCACAAATCAATTAAGTTTATTCTTTACAAAAATTTGATGCCAAACTTGGGTTTTTATTGACCTACTGAGGCAGCTATTACATGTCTTGACAAAGGAGTAAAAGCGAGCATGGGTACGTCATCTAGCAGTTGGTCAGTCAGACCCTTTCTCGCTGAGGCTCGAGTGGCCACTCTTTATATAGTATATTGCTCTATTGCACAGCATGCACCAAAACATTCATGCCACGAACCATTATGTACTAAGAGGAACTAACAGACAACACTGCCAAGGAAGGTACAGGGAGTGGTAGTTGTAGTATTTTTATAGTAAGCGTGAAGAACGAAAATTGGATGAAACGATAACTTGCCAAGAGACCGTACCTCTGACCTTTTATTAACGCGTCTGATGCTCTACCAACTGAACTACCACAGCAGCCATTCCCCCGCCCACATTAAGAGGGGGGTGGGGGGGCATATATGTGCATTTAAACAAGGGAGCCTCAGTCGGTGCCACCAGTGGTTCTTACTTTTACGGTGGGTACATAGTTGTCGCATAAGTAGTTTTCTAAATTGCGAAGTATTTATAACCACATGCATTGTGTTATCTTAACTATAAAATAGTCGAACAAAACTTTTGAAGCAGCGATTCGCAGCTGTGTTTACGTGAATTTAATTGTGCAAACGTTTACTGAAGGATCACTCAGCTTCCTCCTCAAAAATTAATGGTGCCGTTCCGGAGGAAACATTTTAGTACAGCGGTAACACCAAAAATACATTTCTCCGAAAGCAGACTTCAGTTGTTGTCTCGATACGCACTCAATAGGACGCGCAGTAAAGGAAGAAAAAAAATCAACTTTGAGGCGGCTTCTTGTTCATGTACAAGTCCGTGCGATTGGATTCACGCGCGCAGCCCGACAAGCATTGCTATCAGGGTATCTTGGCACTTAGCTATGGTCTTGAAGCTCCTGGAAAGGAATAGAAATGGTCGCGGTTTTTGTCTCGCTCTGCCCTGTTGGCTTCGCAGGCGACACGGGCAAAGCCCGATCATCGTATATCGCGGAGATCTGGTTGCAAACGTAGGCGACAAAGTATTGCGTCTCGGTTTCGTGAGCACCCAAGCTCTGTGCCCCAGACCTGCATTCCCCATGGGCGCCGCATTCATGGCCTAGAAGCATCCGCGACCTAAAGAAACGGCCTTCATTCTGAGCCTGGGCACTCGCGTTGGTTCAATGCAGCCGTTGTGGATAATGTGGGGACTCGCCTCCGCTGAACATGCCGGAAGTGAATCTATAGAGGGAAATACACACTTGGTTGGATTATTGTATCGTGTTTATGTCTAGGAGGCTTTAGATTTACCAATGAGCTTCTGTTGTGCTCTAACTGTCCGAACGTGTTCATTTCTCACATGGCAGTATCGACCAGGCGCCGTTGGCTGAATTAAGAAAACGTACGGTGCAGAGACAGTCGAGCGAAGAGCTTCAAAATTTAGGAGTGCAAATTGAAATGATTTTCTTGGGTGCTTGCGAGTTGGACATACTGATTAGTCGCAAAATAATTGTGGTATTCGTGAAGTTCACCATGATACCTAATCAATTTAGCCAAAACATTTACTCCGACTATTTCATTTATCTGGTGCTCACAATGTAAATTATACAGCCGAATGACAGATGAGAACAATGTCGTTCTAAATACAATACAACAAAGCACTTATTAGGTGATTGTTTCTCGATATAACCTATACCCTACGCATTCTTCATAAATATTGCTGCCTCGCCTAGAGCCTCACATTTTATATTTAGTAGCCAAGCTTGGTAACCACATGAATGTTTCACTGTCTTTTAAGCTTAAGTAGCGCATGTTTACCGTGTATCAGAGCAACTGCCCAAGTTACAACTGTTCATAAACAATATACGTGTACCTATTTCAAAGGATATGCAGTAATCTTATTTGGCACTTTGGTCACAGATGAGAAAAAAAGGTACCTTCTTGCAGTACAACATAGAATATGCAGGAAGGGCAAACTTCTAGCTAGTAATTTACATTTCACAACAACGAAGTGCAAGGAGCACATAATAATGAGGACCAAAAGATAGGGAGACATCAATAAAGGAAGAGACAGGGACGTTAACCTAGAACTGGCTTGCTACCCTGTACATTGGTGAAGAAATAAAGGTCGAAAAGAGGAAAGAGATAGAGATCAAATAAATAACAAACACACACACACACACACACACACACACACACACACACACACACACACACACACACACACACACACACACACACACACACACACACATGCAGGTCGTTCCGATCAATGTCGTTTGGAGAGACCGGTTGAACGCAGGAAGCGCAGAAGTGCCTATACAGCCTTCTTCTGCGACATAAAGTCCTGTCAGTAGCGCAGTATTCTTTCTTTCAAAAGAGTCTGGTTGACCAGTTAGTCTACTGCATTGCAAAGTGATTGCCTCTGCGAGCAGTACTGTGGGCGTTCGCACAGAACATTCCAAGTTGTTTTGCCACTGCCGCAATGGTCACATGCTGCAGTGTCAGCCATTCCTATGCGGAACGCGAACGCATCGATAAATGCGACACCCAACTATAACCTGCACAGTATTGTAGCGTCTACTCGGCGAAGTTCTGGTGGAATTAAGACTGAGAGTTGGGGTGCGTGCGCGAAATGTGGCTCGTTTCACTGCGACGTGGTGCGCTCGCGAGCAAGCATGCGGAGTTTCCGTGCAGCGTCAGTTCTGGAAAGCGGATCCATAAGTGTACTATGCAAAAAAAAAAACAAAAAAACACGGGTCCACGAAGTAAAAAAAAAGGACAGACAAGCGCAGACTGTTCTTCTTTCTACTTTGTGTTCCCGTCTGGTTTTTTTTTTTTTTGCGCAGTGCACTTATGGATCAGTACCAACTTGCCCAACTAGCCATTTTTCTGGTGAGCGGAATTGATACTTGATTGCCTTTAGTATAAGCATAACAGGCAGCTAGATCGGTTCGTTCATTGCCAATTATTTCACATGGACTTGAAAGCCCTTGAAATGCTATTTCATGTCTTTTCTCAGTTAAAAGGTGAGTCCCCCTGCAATCTCGAACACCAATTGTTCTTGCGGGCCACGGCGTAAACATGACAGAAGGGATTGCAGTGCCGCCTTGGAATCACTGAAAATCGTTCAGTTTTGTGGCCGTTGATCACTTGTGATTTGCAATGCGGCAAGAAGAGCTGTGAGCTCCGCTCCCGTCGATGTCGTAAAGTGCAAGGTCTTGACTTTGCTTTTTGTGGCTTTTATTGGTATCACAACAGATGTTGTTGAACTATCCTGTAAAATGGAACCGTCGGTGTATAAATATATACAGTCTTGGTACGTCTTGTATAACAAGAGCAGAACTAGCTACTTAAGAGCAGGTGACGACATATTTGCTTTTTCTGGATGCCAGGTATTGATGGCCTGATGTTAGACTGAGTCAGGCACCAAGGCGGAGTCGAAGGCCGGGTGGCGGGTGTGAAGCATGTCGGCAAAAAGTCGCGATACGTGGTTACCGTTTGGGAAAAGGACGAACGTGGTCGGTCTGCTGGTAAAGAGGCTGGGTGGTGGCAGGGTGCCCGAGCAATATGCCTTGTATTTGTCCTGAGTGTCTCAACGTCAATATGCGTCGCGATGAGGTGGTCACTGGTGATCGCTGTAGAAGCCACCGTCGAGGCGCTACGAGGCAAGCCTAGCCAAATTCGGGATGCCGGGGCCTGAACACTATGTAAAGTATGTAGGTTTGTTTTTCTTTCATCGGTCAATGCCGGTAAGCTGTACCACGAAAATCCGAGAAAAAATACTCTGCACAGCTGCAGGGGAAACATTCCCCAAATCTTCCCTGCAAAGAACTTGAGTCGATTACAGATGTCTATTAACCGTTTTTTCATGTACGAGACGTGGTCACTCTATGATAGATTCCTGTCGATTATAACGCCCGAACACTTGTGCGATCGAGCGTATTAGACCATTGATGCTTATGGTGTACTCATTCATAGGCTTGCTTGTAAAAGCTACGGGGACGTATTTCTCTGAAGAAATTTCCAAGCCTTGATTTCGGAGGTAATGTGGAGTTTCAGTGGCAACTTTTTGAAATACTGAATGCGTGTAACGAGGACCAAATATTTCACATATTGAATGAGCTCTTTTACTTGCGTTCGTATACACATGTGCGTAATTAAGTGCAAAAGCTGTCATTGAGACAACTTGAATGCGACAACAATATTTTGTAACTGATACTTCGTGCACAATTGAAAGATTGTTCTGGCACCAAGTATGCAGTGGCGCCTGCACTTAGCGAGCTGTGATTGCGGGCTCAAACAAAACAGGCAAAAAAAGCTCCAAGTAAAAATATACTGTGCGTGTCACAGCTTGTGAATCTCACCTTTGGGGCTCATGTCGATATTTCCCAAATAGAATGCCCCCTGGCGAACGGCGATCTCATGCGAAATGATTGCAAAAGAGTAAACGTCCCCTTTCTGCGTCCCATTTACGGGTGGTTCAGGAGACCGCAGAAGCTCCGGCGCTGTCCATAGCTTCCCTGCGAGAGTTAAATCATGGCATGAAGTTTGCAGACGTGACATAAAATTTCGATAGATGGGTGTGTTTTACCGAGGACTATAATAAAAAACAGGAGTTTTAAGGCCTTCAACACGTGCACAGGCAACACGGCACAGTGGGGTTTCTTGCAAAGAGAGGTTTCTTGCAATTCACTGCAAAGAATGCGAGTGCCAACCACTCTTTATTCGCACCAGCATAATCGGAAGAAGCACTAATGAAATGACGAGGCTCACAATAGAAGCAAAATTCATTGCTAAGTTTGGGGACGCGTGTATAAGCAAGCCATCAATATCATTATCATTGAAAGAATTGCATTATTTGTATGTCGCATGAGTTGCAGTAGATCAGTTTTCTGGTTCTAGCACGTGGTTGTGACATGCCATGTTTGGGTATAAGTATTGCTGTTTCTCGGATCAAACCGCATTGTTGAAAGTTAGCGCCGTGTATGTGTTCTGTGTTTTCTTCTCTGTCCCGTCGTGGATGCGCTATACCTCGAACAACGTAAATTCGAATTAACATCTTTTATACACTAACCAAGTTTCAACATTCTTTGATCTAAGCTCTCACACATTGAGCAAACTTGACGCAAAAGCATCATGGTTGAAGTGCTATAAATAGCAATGAGACAGAGGTCAGAGTCCTAGCGGTTTATATAGGCAAGGTACTCGACATTTTTTTTTTTTGCTATCACTGGCTTCGCACAACAAGATTCAGAAAACATAGACGTTTCGCCACCTGTTTTAAAAGAACTTCTTGTAGGGCGAGTTGCTGCGTAGTTGTGATGGAAATCGCGCATTTAATCGAACGAACACAGGAAAAAGAGAGTGAACAGAATGAGCGCAAACTGTTAACTGGTTTTATTCATTTGGTCGCTGCATATATATCCTCGTTTTTCCCACACGTCCCAAATAAAGTGAAAGAAGTCATGCCTGTACGTCATGCATGATAGCTTCCAAAATCAAATAAAATTTGAGAGACCCTTAAGCTTCGCCTTTAGGAGTTGAGCGCGATAGTGAAATAAGGCCCCTAGTGCGCCTTTTAACCACTAAGTGCATACTTATCAATATATTTTGTGACACACACACACACACACACACACACACACACACACACACACACACACAAACAAACAAACACACACACACACCACCACCACCACCACCACCACACACGCACGTAATGCACTGACTGTGTAGTGTGGCCACTTTTTTTTGCTAGACCCCCTCCACTTCCAGCGGACGACTACAAAATAGTCCTGCGAATACGTGGATGCCTCAGCTGTGCTGACACTCCGCTTGCGAAGCTCATACATGCCGTCCTAAAAGCGGCAGCGCTCACAAGCTTTCTACTTGACCAATACCGCATCAACTCCGTAAGCAACATTCTGCTCATAAGCACACCGGACTCGGAGTGCACCGAAGCATACCACCGTATCAAATCCATCAAGATGGACGAATGCAGCTTTGAAGTTGATCCCTACATTACTGATCCATCGAATACCAGCCGAGAGGTCATCCGTAATATTCCTATCGAACACACACCTGAAATCATCTTGTCAAGTCTATTGGACTATGACAGACTAGGCCTCATCCTTACCGGAAATCACATGGGTTCCACAACGTCCATCTTGGTCACCTTCGAAGGTATGCGCGTGCCTTTCTACATAAGTTATCAGGGTGGCATTCCCAGATGCGTACCCTATCGTCATAAGACGGAAGCCTGTATTCTCTGCCGCAAACGTGGCCACAGACCAGACGTATGCCCAGGTGCCCCTCAGTGTTTATGTCCAATAGGTGGCATTCCGAACCCACTCCTTGATCCCGAACGTAAACCTAAGTGTGTGGTGTGCAACAGTGACCACCCCACCGGCCCGCCGCAGTGCCCACAGCTCTACAAGCCCAAACCAAAGCACGCACCCTCAACTTTCGAGCAAGATGCAGCTCCATTCCTCGACCCAAGCACATCTTTCAAGAACGCCCTAAAAGACGCTCACACAGTATCACAAGGCAACAAAGCCGAAAAAGCCGCAGCCGCAGCCGAAGCCGTATCAAAAGCATTCATCGGGACCCCAGCCCCCGGAATGGCCCTGGACACGAGGTGAGCTAGGATGATGTAACTTCCCCTGAAAGCTCTAATCAAAAGCAGCTCAAACTATTGCAGGATGAGATGGATAAATTGAGGGCAGAAAATGCAAAACAATGCCTAGAGCTTCAATCCTTCAAACAACCATCTACCTCCCCACAACTCCCCGCCTCATCTCTCACCCCTACACCTATCTCACCACCACCAGCTCCTCCCTCAACCACTCCACTAGCTAGGGGCCCCACTCAACCACCTGCGCAAAAACGAAAAGTCTCGACTCCCACATTGTCATTATTGTCATTCAAGTAGCGATTTGGCCAAGTCGAAGCGAAACTAGTGAAGGTTGACAAAGTTAAAGAAAAAGTAACTGAACTCGAAGAACAACTAGACAAATTTATTGCCTTCTCCGCAGCTTCCTTGCAGAAACTACACGAATCTGTGACCTCAATACAGCAAGTCATGTTACCGATGCAACAAACTCTAGATAAAGTCACGCAGTGGATCGACACGGTCCACGCTAACTATTCAGAGTTTGCCCAACCTAAGCCAAATCAACCTAGCGAAAATGACTCCTCGTAACCGCACTGAACTTTGCGTATCGCAATAGAACTGCAGAAGGTTTCGCCGAAAAAAAAGGCAAACCTCATGCAGTACATCAAATCACAAACTACCTCTCCCCCAATCATTGCGTTACAAGAAACAAATGGTGTAGTGCAGCTGCTAGGTTATAGAACGCATCAAAACCCGGCTGATACCAAACCAAACACTGATGTCTTAACTCAGAAGCACCAGACAGTTACCTATTCAAAATTTTCTGACATCGACATTTAGCACGACTTTCTCCTAATACTACTTGATAAACTTAACTCGCCATTTTTATACATTCTCAACGTATATAGTAGACCACAAGAGAAAAGCCACCACTTCGACTCCCTATTCGCCCGAGCTACATCATCGGCAGGCAAACACACCCTCCTGATAGCGGGGGATTTCAAAGCCTCGCACCCAGCGTGGGGGTTCACCGCATCTACACCGAAAAGTACAGTCCTTTGGTTCCATATTCAGGCACATAGTTTTACACTGCACAACGACCCGGAGGAGTCTACTCATTTGGGAGACTGTGAATAAAGATGCATCCCCCGATCTTACCCTCACTCACAATGCTCCCACAATGGTTTGGACTAACACCCAAACTAATCTTGGCAGCGATCATTACATTATTATCATTACTTTACAACTAAAACACACACCCATTGCACCCAAACCACTGATGCTCAGAGAATGGGACAAATTTAGAGAGACCCGCAACAGCACCGTTCCCTCACGTATTTCAGACCTAACTGAGTGGACTCAACAGCTTCAAAAAGATGTCGAAATTCACACGAGAACTCTACCCCGCGACAACCCGATAACTACTCTTGACTCCAAGCTTCTTCATATGTGGGAAGCAAAACAGTCACATTTGCGACGGTGGAAACACCAGAGCCACAACAGGAAACTCTCCACTAGGATAGCGAAGCTAGGCCAACAAATCAAGCGATACGCGACTCAATTGGCGGCACAGCAATGGGGTCAGCTTTATGAAGGAAAGCATGACCACCTCAGTAATATACGAACTTGGCAACTTCTTAGACATCTGCTAGACCCCAGTACTTCTCTGGCACGACTTTGCCACGCTATCACTAAATTGTTACACGAGTACAATGACCATTTAGGACAGCTCTTTGATAACCTCCGCACGATGCATTTGCTTCAATTACGAAAGGATTATATACCATCTTACACAGGAAAACCTAATGAGTCGTTAGATGCGCCGATAACGGAGGCGGAAGTTAGGCACGCCTTCGCAACACTCCCACGTCGGCTTCAGGCCCCGACCACGTTAACAACAAATTACTTAGAAATATGGACCCTATTGCTTTTATTACTTCGACTAATTTCTTTAATGACTGTTTTGAATGGGCACCCTTCCACTTTCGTGGAAAGATGGCAGAGTTATATTTATACCTAAACCGAACAAAGCTTCCTTAGTTGAAAATCCGAGGCCCATTTCCTTAACATCATGTCTCGGAAAGACTATGGAGCATGTTGTGCTTGCACGCCTCCAGAGACACGTGGAGGATAATGGACTACTGCCTCCAGAAATGATTATCTCTAGGGCCTCACCAACGACTCAAGATGCGATGCTTCGCCTTCAACATGACATAATAATTCCTAACCCAAACAGGATGCTTAGGCGATCTTTGGTCTGGACATACATGGAGAATTCAATAACGTAGCCCACTCAGCTATATATGCTGGCCTCGACCGCATTTCTTGTGGCCCTAAAATGTACTCTTACAACAGAAGCATCCCCCAAACCGCACAGCTACATTAACATTAAGTTCCGAACATTCATCATCCTATTACTAGGCAGCTGCGGAACGCCTCCAGGGTCAGTGCTCTCTCCAATCTTTTTTAACCTGGCTATGCTACCTATATATACCCAATGCTGCTCAACGTATTCCTGACTTGAACTTCTCCATCTATGCTGATGATATCACCTTATGAGTGAAAGGAGGCTCAGATGGACACATTCAAGACACCCTACAAACAGCTGTAGGTATAATAACAGCCCTAACATCTCATATGATCTCTACTCCACACCGCGTAAATCAGAGTTATTCCTTTTACCAACTCATCGTCGGAACAAACACGTTTTAATGATCGAAGTTCACATAAATGGGTGCCTCATTCATAGAGTATCACGCATTCATGTGCTAGCTTTATCCATCCGAAACAACCGAATTAATACGCACACACTCGAAGCTTTACGCAATACCGTTAAAAACACTTAAGAATGATAGGAAGAATCTCAGGGGAAAATAGAGGGCTCCGAGAGTCGGAGCTACTTCGTGT